GAAGTCACCACAGCGCTCCGACGCCTGGGGTTACGCAGCCGCTCGGAAGACTGGCAAGGTAGAGACAGCGAGCGGAGCAGTCCGGCGCGCAGGAGGCGCAGCACCGGATCAGCCGAGTGCATTAGAATAGTTTGGTTTCGCGCAGATGCTGCGAGTTGTAGATAGGATAGCGTAGTGCTAGTTAGGATCTTTGAGGGTATAAAGTAGATCAAGGCGTTTTGCCTTGGGACTCTTCCAGTTTCGGAAGTGCAGATCAGGAACTCACTTTCTTGACGTGTTTGTGCATTTTGGTCCTGGCACCACGTAGAGAAGCTGCAGCATAGCGAAGTTACCGTATGTTGTAGTTGAAGACCTTCGGCTGAATGTTCAGAGCTAGCACCCGGTTAGAGACTTGAGTAGTGCGGATCTGCACCTGCGGGTGATTTCTGATGCTAAGAGCCGGCTGCGAGTTACAGACTTGAACAGTTCCCCCTTACTCCTTCGAGTGACATATCCTGATTGTACTCCTACGGGAAGTTTCCCCTGAATGCCAATGTGAAGTTTTATTACTTCGTGTAAACCTTGGTTTGTAATTTAGGTTGTGTGTGTGTTACTGGATCGTGTCTCAGTTAAGTTCTCAGTCGGGTCTGCACTCCCTGCGTTTGGTGTGATAGTCGAGGGTGACGTCCACGGCGTATGTAGAGGCTTCGTTCCGAAGTGGGAAGTCCAGTCCGGGTACCCTACGCTAGTTCCTGGCGGAAGGGCAGTAAAAGCCGGAGTGGGAGGCACTACCTGCAGAACCTCTGAGTGAACTTGTGAGACACTTTCCTCCTGAAATCCGAAGCGGAGGTCCTGACCGACCTCCGAGTTGTGCTTTTTTGCCAGTTTCAGGTGTGTGTGTGTGTGTTGAGTGACCACGCTGTACCGTGCATCCTCCGAGCATCCTCCGAGTTGAGATCCTCCTCCGAGTCGAGCCTCCGAGTTGAGCACTGCAGTATTTCTGGGAGTGACAGTCGCCTAGAATTCAAACTCTACAAAAGTCTGTTAAATGTGACACTTTTACTCTGTGTGTTGCCTCTGTCCCTGTGTATTCGATCTTTTTACCACCATACTGCAGTTTTAGCCTTTGGTGGGTTATTACAGTACTCCTACGGGAAGTTTCCCCTTAATGCCAAAGTGAAGTTTTGTTACTTCGTGTAAGCCTTGGTTTGCAATTCAGGTTGTGTGTGTGTGTGTTACTGGATCGTGTCTCAGTTGAGTTATCAGTCGGGCCTGTACTCTTTGCGTTTGGTGTGAGTCGAGGGTGACGTCCACGGCGTATGAGGGACTTCGTTCCGAAGTGGGAAGTCCAGTCCGGGTTCCCTACGCTAGTTCCTGGCGGAAGGGCAGTAAAAGCCGGAGTGGGAGTCACTACCTGCAAAGCCTCTGAGTGAACCTTTGAGCTACTTTCCCCCTGAAATCCGAAGCGGAGGTCCTGACCGATCTCCGAGTTATGCTTTTGCCAGTTTCAGATGTGTGTGTGTGTGTTGAGTGACTACGCTGCACTGTGCATCCTCCGAGCATCCTCCGAGTCGAGCATCCTCCGAGTGACATCCGAGTCGAGCATCCTCCGAGTGGCCTCCGAGTCGAGCACTGCAGTATTTCTGGGAGTGACAGTCGCCTTAGAATTCAAACTCTACAAAAGTCTGTTAAATGTGACACTTTTTACTCTGTGTGTTGCCTCTGTCCCTGTGGATTCGATCTTTTTACCACCATACTGCAGTTTTAGCCTTTGGTGGGTTATTACAGGGTTCCAGATCAGTGCAGACTGAAGAGTCTGGTCCTGGACATTATCATCGTCCAACAAGAAGCGTCGAAAGAGAAAATGTGGGACCTGATAATCATCCTGCTGCTAACTTGCCTCTGTGCTGATATCGTAGAACATGGAACTTCTGGCAAATACCAACAGCATCGTTGGCATTCCCTAGTACGCGTAATTCTTTGTGCGGCAGTGTTCGTTGCCGAAGATCTCAAATACGTTGTTTCCGGCACCCTTGAGAGGAACTTCCGATGAAATGTAGTTCGACTGCAACCCTGCACGACATACTACAAAGATAAGTGCCAGGTGCAAGTCTGCATCCCATATTCATCTTGAAAGATTCTATCAACGATGCTGCGTGCTTAATGAAAAGTAGATTTCTAGTATTCTTCGCATGGCATGCCAGCGATGTATACGATTGTACTTACAACCGCTTATTGGGTTCCACTGAGCATCTGCGCCATTGGAAAACCAGAAGCCGGCAGCGTCGACCTTGTAGTAAGTTCTCTTCGGCCCTTCACGAGTCCGGACCATCACAGGCATGCGGTAGATTGTCTCAAAATTGGGACGTGTCCAAATGAATTCACACAGCATCTGCTCGGTACGATAAGCATCTAACTCAGCAAGGGGCCAATCGGGTGTAGGCCCACAAAAACGAGTCGAGGTTTCAACACTGTGGCATTCTTTAATATCAACGGGAGCTTGGACAGTGAGCTTCCCGCATTGACTGAGGCATGAGCATTCCATGTAGAGGTTAGAATCACCGGCTGGCAGTTATTTTTTCACTGAGAACGACTCGGCCAAAATATTTCTAGTGCATGTTGTGAGCACAAAACTGTGCTCACATGTCTTTTTACCCTTATGAGAGTTAAAAGTTTGGATTGAAACTCTTGCAAAATTATGCTTGGGATTTTCTGAAAGTTTCTGCAAGATTAGAAGTTGGTGTGATGGTTAGGGAGCAAGAGGTGCGGAAGGAGGCCTTTGGGGCAAGGTCTTCGGCGAAGTGCCTTCGGGGAAGTCCCTTCGGGAAAAGGCCTTCGGCGAAGGAGTGAAACTCTCATAACGTTTTCAATGTGTGACGCCTTGACTCAGTTAGGGTCTTGTTGAAAAAAGAGCTTGCGACGCTCGTTCCAACAAGACCAAGAACTCTTGAAACGGATGAGGCATCACCGAGTTAGTAGCGGCGGAAGTTTCTGATATGGAGGGCCTTCGGCGGGATGCGCGTAGGCGGCCTGCGCATAGGCGGGTTGCGCGTAGGCGGCCTGTGCATAGGCAAACGCCTTCGGCGGAAGGGTAAAACCGTGATAACGTTTTTCAATTCTTAACGGTTTGCGTTGGTTAGGGTCTCATTGGAAAGGGCTCGACAAGTTTGTTCTAACGAGCCCAAGAACGCTTGGAACAGATGAGGACTGAGGGAGTTATGACTATCGGAAGATACGTAGACGTTCGCCTTCGGCGGAAGGAGCTCGCATACGCCGGGAATTCCGCCTACGCGGAAGGGAGTTCAACTTTTGTCTTATGCGCGGACGAACGCCTCCGGCGGTTGTAGGCCTTCGGCGAAGCAGTAAAACCGGCATATCTTTTTCAATTCTTAGTGGTTTGACTTGATTCGGGTCTCGTTGGAAAGAACTCGATGCGCTAGTTCCAACGAGACCAAGATCTCTTGAAACGTATTAGTCATCACTGAGTTATGAGCATCGAAGGCGGCTATCATGGTTAGGCGAGGGGCCTTTGGCGTTAACATATAGAGGGGCCTTCGGCGTTAACAGTTAGAGGGGCCTTTGGCCCAAGGCAGCCTGCGTGTAGGACGCCTGCGGAAAGGCGGCCTGCGGGTAGGACGCGGACGCCTGCAGATAGGCGGCCTGCGGGTAGGACGCGGACGCCTGCGGATAGGCGGACGCCTGCGGATAGGCGGCCTGCAGATAGGCGGACGCCTGCAGGTAGGCGGCCTGCGGGTAGGACGCGGATGGCTGCGGATAGGCGGACGCCTGCGGATAGGTGGCTTGCAGATAGGCGGACGCCTGCGGGTAGGCGGCCTGCGGGTAGGACGCGGACGCCTGCAGATAGGCAAACGCCTTCGGTGGAAGAGTAAAACCGTTATAACTTTCTCAATTCTTATCGGTTTGACTTAGTTAGGGGCTCGTTGGAAAGAACACAACACGTTTGTTTCAACGAGCCCAAGAACGTTTCAAACGAAGCAGGTATCTGTGAGTTATGGGCGTCGGGGTGACTGTTATAGATAGGCAAAGGTGCGGAAGAGTGTCATCGGCGGGGGATGCCTTCGGCGGTGCGCGGAAGACAATTTCGGATGGCGGATGTTGACGTGATCATAAATAAAGACTGTACAGGTGTGGCAGCGGCGGAGCATGAAGTTGCACATGGGAGCCAGGCCGTTGCACATCATCGCGGGAACGGCATTCACGCGGGCTGTGGGTGACTCGGCCCTTGAACGTTGGAGAGGAATTTTTGGCCTGGGGATAGAGATCGTGTGGTGTGCCATTGTGTGGAGACGCTGGTGGGATCGGTAGGAGGATAGAGTGTGGACGTGAGTGATTTTCGCAGGGAAGTGGTGAGGATTAGGAGGGGAGTGTGGAGAGTTCGAAGTAGGAGAAAGCAACCTCTCGTGGGTGGTGAGTGGTATCGTGAAGTGCGAAATCTGTGAGTGGAAGACCTGAGAGTGGGATCCGAAATTGAAGTGTAATCTGTGAGTGGTATCTGAAATTGAAGTGACATCTGTGAGTGGAAGACCTGAGAATAGGATCTGAGATTGAAATGTAATCTGTGAGTGGGAACTGAGATCGAAGTGTAATCTGTGAGTGAGATCTGAAATTGAAGTGTAAAATACGTGAGTGGGATCTGAGATTGAAGTCTAATCTGTGAGTGAGATCTGAGATTGAGGTGCGAAAATCTGTGAGTGGGAGCTGAAATCCGAGTGGAAGATCTGTGAGTGGGAGCTGAGAGTGAAATGAAATCTGAGACTGAAATCTGACAGTCGGGATCTGTATTTGAAACTGAAAAGATAGAGTGGAATCTGAGTAGGAATTGGAAGTGGAACTCAAAGCTAGGATAGACCACAGCGGCTATGGTATTGAGAAAGTCATCCAAAGTTGGGTTAGATCTTTGTGTAACAAAGAGCTTGTCTGCTGCTCTTGTGGAAATAGCAGACAGCAAGTTATTACTTTCAGTTCTGGATAATTTGTCTGTGAAAGAGCAAGTGTTTATGATCTCATTGCCTTGAACACACTTTGATCACATGGTTGAGATCAGAGAAGTTAGATTATGGGAGCGCGAACCCCCACCTCGACTACAAACGCTGAAGGGTGGGGAGTTTAGGCTCACACATGTTCTGCATGAGCTCGCACTCAGTGATATCAGCTGAGCGACCATTGTAACGCCCAGCATTGCATACAGCAATGCATTTCTGAATGAAATCATCGTTCCACTTGGATCAATGAGCAATGTGAAAATGGGAAGAAGATAGAGTGGCATGTGGCTGCCCTCTAACATCACTGGAATGAGGAGGAGGCAAAGGATGGTGTGGAGTTCATGGTCTGAAAGCTCATGAATTGCTGCTGCGAGCGCCGCTGTTTATATGATCTACGAGGCAACGAGGAGAGACTGAAACCACTGTAATATGACACTACTAGAGAGAACAGGAATCTCGAAAAATCGTGCACAGCTGTAGATCTACCTATAGCTATGCTTGTCCGGTACACTGAGCCAAGAAAGCACGCAATCCCATTCATCCACCAAGCCCGGGGCTAATATTTCGGTGGAAGTGGATCGCTTCCCAGGAGTCAAGCAGGTTGAATGCGATATCACCAGGTACTCAAGGACTCCTTCGGCTCAGCAGAAGTACTACATGAAAGTCTTTGTTAGGTACTTGAAGTTGCCATCGCAGACCAAATTCAAGTTCGACAAGGGCGTGTTGTATTTCGCCGTGGCTCCCGACTTCAGTTGGAACAGTTCTGGGCTTGTCTGTGAGTAACTTTGAAAGACCTGGTCGTACAATTCGCTTGCGTTCATTTCCGCTTCAAGTGTTGGACACGGACTTATTGTTTTCTATGCCTGAAAATCTCGTAATCATATGCCACTGAGTCCAATAACTCTTGATGTGATAATCAGGGAGTATGTTCATAAGTTCGGAGTCTGAAAACGCTCTATTGGCGGAAGCCGTCTTCCATTCGAATGGACTGAGGTATGGGAGCTATTGCATTCTAAATCTTTGCGGAGATAATCTTGTTTTAAATGGCCGGGCGATAGCTATACTCCTTGGACAAGTGTTTCAGATGCTCTTCGCCCTGTCAAATTATACACTTAAGAGATAGCTCGCATAGACTGTGTATGAGCTAGTCCTGGAACCTTCTTGTAGCCCTGAAATTCATCTATGGAGAAGTAACAAGATAGGCAAGTCCAATTTCTTGAGCTGATTTTCGAGACTAACTTCGAGTTTTATGGTAAATGGTGAATGCTGAGCCATGATGTCAGCATCCGATAGATCGAAAGTGGATGCTAGCAAAACAGTGGGTGCATGGTATCACAATATGAAAAATAAATGTCTTTGAATCAGTATATCTTGCACATTTTTGAAACGAATGGTGATGTAGGATTTGAGCTAAGGGTTTTAGAACTTAGCGTCTAGCCTGTACAAAGTCCTTCACACTTGAAATCCCATTCAGCTCATACAGAAGAGCTTCGCCCACGTGAGACACCGGTGAGGAAATTTCTCACATGGAAATATGTGAAGACATACAGCAGATTCATACTGATTTACGGTGGTTTAGTTGCAAGGCCATTTTGTTGCAATGCATTCATATATAAAAATCAAATCTATTATCTAAAATCGTTAGCCCAATCAAGCGTACAATGTTACAAAATACTGCAATTGCAATACATTCATATTTACACTACGATTCAAATCCTGCAAATCCATTTAAAATTGCCGGAAGTAAGTCACGTTTGTGTGAACTTTCATGATTGTAAATAGTAAAACTTCTGTTTTTTTACTCATGGGTAAACGTAAAACTGGGTGACCACTTCAGCCCTACATCTTGTGGATTGAGTAAATGCAAGGGCTGGAGTGTTCTATAAAAGGAAGGCGATGTCGGACAGCGTCCGTCCAACGAACAGTATCTCCTTTACCGTAGGTCGTTGCCTATAGATAAAAGGACAGAGAGAATCCGGCAAGCTAGACTGTAGATATTGACACTCCTGCTGATGGTGTCTAGAATAGAAATTCCTTACTCTGCGCAGACAGAACCGGAGATAGATGAGGCATAATCATGTCGGGACATTTCTGTTGCAGGATCAACGGATAAAACAGTGAGTCTTCGGGCAGCGAGTCAAATCTCAACATCGGCGAGGGTCTACAGACCTCGGCCGATAGGCTATACAATTGTTTCAATCCATAAAATCCTGGTGGCAACCTCGATATATGGCAGATTCAGTCGGCCCAGGAACTCATTCTGGACCAACAATATGATTTACTTTCCGACACGTAAACACCCTTTATGAAAATAGTATAAGTGGTCAGCACTGAGAGCGCTGGACTTAATCAAGTACGCTTATGTAACAGTACTCTCTCCTGAGTGGGCATTCTAGATGGCTTGTTCTTTTGGCCACCTGCTGAGATGTTTGTCCAATCTTGTGTTTCTTCATTTTCACAGAGATTTTGCAACTTACTGGAGGAAAGGGCGACTTACATGCAGCGCTGGAATCGACGTCCACTGTTCCGAGTGTTTCGTTGGTTTCTCATGAACGGCGCAGCTGCCTTTCATGAGCGTCCTCATGAACAGATCGATTGGACAGCTGCTCAAAGTCGATCTACTTTTCACGTGCTCGCAGTCAATAAGCTCAGGAATGGTATGTGGACATTCGTCAAGACTTAAAAGTATCAGTAAAGGCTTAGGATTGCTGGAAAAGAATGGGAAGGGGTCACTTTGATACTCGAAATCGAGTATCTCCTGTTTTACGCAAGATGTAGCTGCCCGATATTGTGATATTGATGCTAACTTTAGTTCATCGTTGGCAATCTAAGCAACCAATAAGCGCTAAAATAGTAATGCCATCATCGTTCATGGTTTTCTCCGTTATCGTTTTTGATCGACACATTTACGATTTATTGATGTTTTCTAGCTCACCTAGGATATGAGACAGCTTCGGGCCAAACAAAACATGTGTTTGCGTACAAAGGTTGAAAATTTGATAGGAGTCCACCAATTCACTATCCAAGTCATCCACGTGCTTTTTTAGATTCATACGAATTGATATTGAAGATGAATCTGACACGTATGACTGGCACATAGAGAATAGCAAATCAAGATGGCGCATTGCAGTTAAAAGATAGAACATACGTTTGAGCCAATGCTCAGTGTTTACTCAAGTGTTTAGTGGAAGCAAATCGAAAGATCGCATGTTGGATATGCCATCGCATGATATGAATCTCATATAGAAATTCGACTAGCAGTCTTTTCGCTGGGGATTGGGAAACACTGTCTGAGTTTATCAGAAAGACTGCCCATTTCCAAGAGAATTATCCTTAACGACCCACGACTTGTCGACCCCTGCACATTGATCGAGCAGAATGTCATCAGAACCCAGAGGTTTTACAGCAAAGTCTAACAGAATATCCTCGTTACTGCAAAATACGATAAGCATAATCGGATCTACAGTGGTTGTATACAGACATTGTAGAAGGAAAGGGAATCGAATAAAAGGGAATTGAATAAAAGAGAAGTGAATAAAATAACTTACAGCCACTAAGAATGTTCGCGGCGGCTCCGATATTCTCAGACTGGGTCGATCCATAGACACCATTGGTGTCGAGCTTGAAGTAAGTGCTGGCAGGCCCTGTGCTTGCCCAGACCTTGATATTTGTGTATTGCTGTTTGATAGTCACGCCCGATCGTCTGTAGTACAGGAACTTGCAGAAGAAGCCCTTGGCCGACGCACCGTTGGGGCAGGTGCTAGCTTGGAACTCCTTGTCTTCACACTCACCGATGGTGTCGCTGAGCACGGTGACAATATCATTGGAGTCCAGGCAATCGCAGCGGATGATTATGAAGTCATCCTTCGGTAAATAGTTCATGATGGTGAAGGTCTTGCTATCGGCCGCTGCAGCATAGGACACCATCGCCAGTTGCAGAAGGACGACACATATCACTAGAACATATGCTCTCGCCATTGGGAAGAGTAGAGCGCGAACGAAGCAAGTGTATGAACCAGAAACTCTATACGAGCACCTAATTTGCCCCGAAAGGCTCTGCTGTATGCAAGCAGGCGTGTTTGAACTTGGAAAAATTTCCTAGAAGAAAGCGAATGAGCCACTTCCACAAACCGGTGTTGGCTCTTTTCACTGATCGTCAATTGATATAGGCATCTCCTGCAACTCCTCAGACTAGTGAACAGATCATCTTCATCCCTCGACACGCATGTACTTCTGACCTAGTGTCATGTTGATTTGTCCACGTCCTCAGCGTTCTAAAATCCACGGTCTGTACCGCAGATAAGGGAGGTAATTACTTGAACAGACAAAGGCAGCCACTTGATGAGTTAAGGTCTAGAACCACTTGTAAAATATTCGGCTACTATAGGTCAATCCTGCAGGGGGCGTGCGCATGAAAGCAAAGATGCGTTTGCGACTTCACGAATTCCACCCTTGTCATTTGTGGCGACCTTTAGCATCTGACATAATCTTAAGCCTGTGCAAAGGGTTTTTTTTTCCCTGTGCATGATCTTACTGCCATGATTTTAACACAGTTCTGTTCATAAAGTAAAGTCAAATCATTGTTCTGAGTCAAATCTGAAGACGACAACATGGAAATTGTAATGCACAACTACTACGACAAAGATACTGGAGCATGTGTCATTTTCAATCAGCCACTGCGCTGTTTGCAGATCATTGCTCTAACTTTCTTGTTTGGACAACAACTTGTTATTTATGGAAAATAGGATCTTACTACCACGATTTTAGCAAAGTTCTGCGCAGATAATAAAGTGATATGCAGTGTATGATGCACTCAAAGATCGATGATTCGAAATCGAGCTCAGTACGAGACTGAGTACAGGACAGCAACTATAGGGGCATGCGTCATCTTGCACCAGCTTCAGTGTACTATTTTGTTTCTGCCTATCATCGCTCCAACCTCCTGAACATAGTCAACTTTTGAGATATGGCAAACGGACTGATGGATTGGCTGAAGCTCATCATGTCACAATAATTGATGAAACATCTTTGCTGACTCGAACATGAAGTCCTCCAACTTGAAGATTGCATATTATCCCCAAACTTGATCCTCCCCGCACTTTGAGATGGAATAATCGAAGAAGCCATTCATTACATATTCTGACTCAAACTGTAACGCGACTTGACTCAAAGATCGAATTTTCTCAGCATGTGCAAACAATTATTCTAGATCCTTTAACAGTACGCTTGGACCATTAAAGTGGGGTGGAGACTGATATGCATGCGCGAAAAGTTCTCTTAGAGCCTTGAACAGCACGCATGAAACCTTTGAGTCTGGTGAAGACATTACGCATGTTGCGGAAGAGATGCAAAAGTACAATGAATGATTCGGGGGAACAAGGAAGAGCTTAGGAGAGAACTTTTTGGTTTTTAGCATAATTTTTGGTATCTTCAAAAGTCAGTTATATATGTCAGTTTTGAAAGTTCGATGGAGTTCTCATTTTGTTTTACAAGATCGAGATTTTCCCTCTGCATAAAACATAAAACCTGTGAGTCTTAAGTACAAAACAGAGAATAAGTCCCAATTCCAAAGACTGTTAATCTAAACTGCAATAATTTTTTTCTAAAATGGGTTTCTTGGATTGAAGAAGTTGATAGTTTATGTTTATTTACGTTACAAACCTAGAAAGTCAAGATGGGATTGTTGAGTCTCATACAACAAATATAGAAATACATAGGTTCATCAAGTAGCAGTTAAACGTGTAGTCTTTCGAATAACTGCCATGACAAACATGATAATCAATAGGAGACAATATGATGAGAAAATTAACAAAAGATATTGAGTTTTTATTTATCTTTATGAAATTTTCTTCATCAGAGACATATTAGAAGAATAAGATAATCTCACGTCCTCGAATCTAGTATTGTAGATGGAATCTTAAATGGGAACTTGTGAATTCAATGAGATTATCGTCTCTAGTATACAAGGGGGTTTCAGAAGCAAGACCACACATTTTTGGTCCCAAGTCTTATATTGAAAGTAAGTTGGCATTGCTAGAGGGATTGAAAGGGCTTCCGACCTCAAAGGAAAACTCCATTTGGATGTACAGTCTGTATTAAAAAAAGATCTTAAATCCTTTAAATCGACTTCAAATCTTAAATTTTACTCAATATTTATTGCCCCCACGATCCAGGCATCTATAACATTATGAAATATCGAATGGTTAAATGATTCGGAAATATGATAATCTCTCACACTCTCTTGAGTAGCTTCTAGGCAAAGT